TGTTGGGATTACCTCCCTTTGGGCTTGGAGGATCGTCTCCTTAAGGAGCAACCACTCTTCTTGGACACCTGATTCCCCTCCCCTCCAGGACCTCAGTGCTTCCCCGACTATTCTTAGCTCGCTGATGTCCACCCTCCTGAAATCTAGGGCTGCTGCCTTGCTGCAGGCCTTTACCACCTTGTGCTGGATGGTGAATTCCAGCAGGCAATGATAGCTGTTGCCCAGGTGGTTGAGCACCTGCGGTCCCCTCACCAGGTTGTCACCTGTGGCCAGGATCAGGTCCAACAAGGCGTCTCCTCTGATGGGGCTGTGCACCTCCTGGGTTAGATGGAGGTCCTGCATTCTGGCTAGGAACCTACGTGAGCGGTCAGACCTGGCTGACTGCTCTTCCCAGATGATGTCTGGAAAGTTCAGGTCGCCCATGACGACCACGTCCTTTGACCTAACTACCTCCATGAGCTGACTTAAGAATTCCTGGTCTAGCTCTTCCCTGTGGTTGGGTGGTCTGTAGTAGACCCCCATCATTAAGTCTTTTTCCCCTCTTGCCTTATATTCTAACCCAGAGCACTTCAGTGTGCCCCTCCTCTGACCCTGTGCTACCTGGTGAGGATGTATATTCCTCCTTAATGTAGAGCACCACGCCCCTGCCTTTTCTCCCTGGCCTGTCCCTCCTGTACAGCCTATAGCCCTTGATACTCACCACCCTGTCATGCGTTGGGTCCCACAACGTTTCAGTGAGCCCCACTATGTCTGGGTTGGTGTCAGCTAGCAGGAGGGTAAGTTCCTCCTGCTTGTTTCCCATACTACGAACATTAGTGTAGAGGCATTTGAGGCCTCCTGTGGATGCGTGCACTGGCCCCCTAATCACAGCATTGCCCTGGCCCTTGTTGCTTACCTGTGTATATGTTCCGCTCGTCAGTCTAGGCTGGGCTGTACTTGTGAACGCTGCTTGGTTTAGCGGTCCAAGGCTCCTCCCTCGTCTTCCCCTTCCCCCCCGACGAGCCTAGTTTAAAACCCGCCGGAGGAGATCCACCAACCTTCCGTTACCTCTCTGGTTATAACCTGGTAGCAGAGCATTTACAGCTTGCTAAATTGATATATTTTTCTTTGTAAGTGTTTGAGCATAAAGGAGTTAATGCTAAATATTGGTATATGGGAGCTTGGGTGGGTTTAATTTTAAAATGCTAAAGGATATAGTCAGTCATTTTAAAAATGTATGAAATTGCTAACTAGGGTAATCTATTTTTTCCTTTCAGCTAAATTGTCAGTACAAAAATATTAATCTAAAAATTGTATCAAATTCTGAGCATTTAAAAGTGAGAAGGAAATTTATGAGCTGTAGTAATTGTCCCGTTTCAAAAGCAGATGATGCCCTTGCTCCAAATTTAGTCAGTTGTGTGTGTAAAATGATACATAACATTTAGAGTTAATCTTAAAGAAGAGTCCCAATACATTGAAAGCAGTAACATTTAACATAATCCTGAATCTTTCCATATGTTACCCAAAAGTGCTTTAGGGGAACCCATTTATGTTTAAATAAAATAATGCTAGGTTGCATATCTTGAAATTAGGAGAATTTTAAAAGTTAACAAGCTACCTCATGCACAGTGCTTTGAATAGTTATCTTAGTTTTAGTTCAATGTGCTGATCATTCTGGTAACTGTAATATTAGATGGTTTTAGGCTGCAGATGACAGATTTTTTTTATATTGCTTTACAATTTGAACAATCTAAATCATGTGTTTGTTTCAGAATCCTCTGATCCTGGTCATCATTAAGTAGCTCTTCTTTGGGTATGCAGTTGGTGACTCATCCGTGTTATAAATGAAGGAAGCTACCACCATAGGGAATGTAATTGGACTTCATAAGCATTGTACAGTTCCAAAACTGTACGTAATCCAGCCGCTGTACTTAAAGAATAAATCTGTGAGCACGTAGTACTCTGGAGTGTGTTTTAATACTGTAACTACAAAGTAAAGTAACTTTGCATGTGAAACCATATGGTGTAAAACAAGGTCACTTTCAACATACCATAAGCTCGCATAAGAGTACATTGAAATAACTAACATTTTGCTAACACTAAGCACTTCAATAGTAGACCTGTTCAAACAAGAACCAGTATTGTGAGGTTTTTTGCCTCTTTTAAAGACTTCTTAATTTCCTGTGAAAAGATTGTTTTCTCTCAGAATTTTCCATTTCATTTTAAAAACACTTGGAGTATAAATGCATAGTTAGTCTATTCAGCAATATGAACATTTCTGTTGTCACTATGTAACATTTGGTCATCTAAATCACATAGCAGCACTACTTTGATGCTAGAAGTAAGCAATTTTAAAAAATGGAAACTCTTTGCTCTTGAAAAATCTCCTCTAAGTTCTGCAGGAAAATTTACAAAGCAAAAGCCATATTGTTAACAAAAACAAGTATCATGAAATGTTTTCAGATTTGCTGAAATGTCCTTAGTTAGGAGGTGCATCGATAGAGATTCCAATATGCAGCAGGGCAGCATGGAGACCAGTGTCTGTTGGACTGGTAAGTCTGTTGTGGAAAAGGGGTGGGGGGAGGGAAGGGGCGTGGGGGCAGATTGACGTCGCCATGGTGAAGGAGGGAGTGGGGCAGCAGCCCACCCTGCCTGCGCACATCTGGGACACACTCCCCAATACCTGCTGGGGTGCATGCAGTAGTGGGAGACGTGTCCCCTGGACAAGCTGCTTGACACTCTATCCCATGCCCCACCCCAGCTTGTCAGCACCTCCCTCTGCCCCAGTCACACTCCCTCCCTCACCATGGGGGCCGTGATCTGCCCTGCACCCCTTTGCTCCCCCCTCCCCTTTCCTCACTACAGACTTACCAGCCAATGCTGCTCTCCCACTCGCCAGGCTGTGCTCCTGGCCATGTGCATGCCACAGTTGTGTGCATGCATTGGACATTTATCAGCCACATCAGGCAAAAAAAACCAATTGCTGATCTCTCAATTTTCCCTATATCAGTGCCGATCTGATATGGAACCAATGCATCGGTGCTCCTCTATCTTTAACTTCTTTGCCGTCTATATTTGAAAGATCATTTAGACTATTCGAGACACAAAGTATTCCCAATTGTGATCTTTCACCAGGTTTAGCGAGTGCTTAGTCCCCTTAGAGCAATTGCATGTAGGCTCATTTTTTTTCATCATGGCATAACATTAAATTTCTTAGTGCAGACAGTGTTCTCCTTCATACTGTACTTTATATTATTCTGGCATGTGGATGTGGGTACAAGGGCACACTAAAAGTTTTTTTTGTTTTTTTTGTTTTTTTGAAGTGCGATATGCCACATGGATGTCACTTTGCAGCTCCAAGCACTTGGAGCTGAGCTAGTTAAAGGTGGCCTCTTCTGTTCCCTTTGAATCTAGAGTTTGAGGAGAGACTTCCAACAAATGAAAAAGCACTTAAATACAGATCTCCCAATTGGGAATTGATGCAGATTTGCTAGTCAAGTTGATATTTGTACTTTTTCTGCTTAGAGCAGGGATCAGCCAGGGTGGAAAGCTGGGAAAAGCACTGCTGTGAGTGGGCAGCTCATAAGTGTGTATACATATGGTGCCCCCCCGACCACGGTGCCCTGGGTGTTTGCCCACATGGCCTACCTGTAAGCCCGCCCCTGTGAGCACTACTGTTAATAGCTTTTACCAGGTACGGGGTGTAATTAGTAATGCTTTGATCTCTGCGGTTACTCAGAGCCCTTTGGGAAACAGAAGCTAACAAGAATTGCTTGTGCCCAAAAGCTTGCAAAGACCTTTTTTTGAACTACTCAGTTGGTCTAATAAAAGCTATCACATCTACCCAAAGAAGCTTGCCTAACAAAAATTTATGAACTTTGTGCTGGCCTCACTTTCAAAAACATAGTTACAGGGCAGACTAAAATTATTTAGCATGGAGAACAAGAAAATGGATATTGTTTTAACTGTTGCATGCCATCTTCCAGGATCTTTACATTTCTTCCCTCACTCCTTGTGTATTCCAGTATGTCTGTGAAGAATCAGGGGAAGGAGGGACTCTGGTGCATCTGCTGACAGTATAGTGGAGCAGGGACCCAGTAGTCTAAAATTTTTGTGGTTCTAAGGTCAGCCTTCTCGGTGTCACGTGTTTTGGGGGTGGTAGGTAGAGGGGCTGAACTGCTAACTGTGAGACTCAGCAGAGCTTCTAAGCTTTCTGTTTTTCCTCTGCTCCTGAGAATAACCATTTCTTTGGAAAAGGAGTGAAAAGACAGTAGTAAGAGAATGGAACTTCAACTGATCAGAATCTTGCAAGCCACAGATGACCTAGGAAGCAGGTTGTAACTACACAGTGGTTTGGTTATCAGGCCAAACAGAAATTTTAACGCTGGCAGAGTCTGGAGTGATACAAATGTAGGCTTTTTAAGCTGGTTTCTGAAATACAGATTTTTTTCTCCCACATTTTAAATGATCTGCTTTTAAAAACTTCAAAGTTCTTAACTTTTGTATATTTCTGCCAAAAAAAAAAAAAAGTAGAGGTAAGTGCAACATAAAACTTGCGTTATTAGACATGTGCCATTTTAGCTAGTGCCTGTCCCCCAAAACTGTATACCAACCTAGCAAGACAGAAGATTGCTATGTTCCTTGCATGGGATGCAGACACATTACATAGCCTCTGTTCCATAGCTAAGTAGTGCAGTTCTCACTGTTGCGCTTGTAGGAGGATGGCGTAGAAGATATTTCAGGAGCATAACTAGCAGCACAACCCCACCAGTAGTTGCAAATGCTGATAAGATTACTGCTACTTCAAAGAAGATTTAAGTAAATCTGAAAAGAGTGCTTATAGGCTGCAATAATTTCCATGTTGACCAAATCTTACTCTTCAATCAAAATAGCAAACAATTTTTTCTGTACATATCACTGATCCTGAGATGAATATGATGTGTGTAGTAGAATTGCTAGAGGGAAAAATAGCTGCTAACTGATAGATGATACTCCATGCAGTGAGCTATTATGCGTTTCTGTGTGTAACTGATCATCAGGGATCCTAGTTTTCCGTGATAAATCACAAATTCTCTGATAAAGATTCCAAAATCCGGGGTTAAGATTAAATGCCCCCCACAGCCCTGCTGGTGTCC